TCATATAGTACTACAGTGATGAAGACACCCACATCATTGTCACAGTCCCTGCGGTCAGTTTCTGGCGCTGCTCTCAATTCCAACAATTTGACAATGTGTGTAGATAGTAGAGGGGGTGATGTGACTCAAGTGGGGTGGCACCTGCTATCCAGATGGTAGACCTACACTGAGTTCTAGATTACAAGTTCTGGTCTTGTGGGGTCCCAGACATTGTAGTCCTTTCATGAGAGAAAGAGTGGTAATTGTTCATCAATGCGGGATAGAATTTTTGCAGCCATTAAGGAAGTGGGAAAGAATGAGAAATGAGAAAATCAAGCCAGAGAATACAAGGACCAAAATGCAAAAACTTCAAGATGCTTATAATATTCAAGAATTATAAAATCAGGGCCCGGCGGCATGGCATAGAGGCTAAAGTCCTTGCCTTGAATGTGCTGGGATCCCATATGGGCGCTGGTTCTAATCCCGGCAGCTCCACTTCCCATCCAGCTCCCTGCTTGTGGCCTGGGAAAACAGTTAAGGATGGCCCAAAGCTTTGGGACCCTGCACCCATGTGGGATACCGGGAAGAAGTTCCTGTATCCTGGCTCTGGATCGGCATAGCATCGGCAGTTGCGCTCACTTAGGGAGTGAATCATCGGAGGGAAGATCTTCCTCTCTGTCTCTCCTCCTCTCTGTATATCTGACTTTCCAATAAATAAATAAATCTTTAAAAAATGAATTATAAAATCAGTCTTGCAATGAAATATCAGTCAATTAAAGATGGGTATGTTCTATGTACTAAGCACTAAGGATGCATCCTCAATACTCAGTAGCTCCCACTCTTGCTGTTGGTGGTTATGAAATGCTGGATGATGTGACCTGAGTATTACATTGATGTATCAACATTTTATATCAATATATTCAAATTGTGATAAGTAGTTAAGTGCTCAGACCTATGTGTGACTGGCCATGTGTCTAGAAGTAAGCCACACTATGTGGTGCAGAGAACCTAGCATTAAAATGACAGGAGTAATCTCACCAACTAATAAACAAGGTCATCAGCAAAGATAGATAATGGCCAAGAGGGATGAGAAAGAACTTTGATTTTTGGCAGCAAAACTGTTAGCATTTGTGAGAGATAATAGTGAAGGAAAGAAAAATGAAAATAACTCCAAAGATTGCACCCTGAGAGGAGTGAGAGAATATGTTGTCTGCTTTAGTCAGAGAGAGTTGTAGAGGAAGGCAGGTTGGGGTCAGGAGAGTAAGATTAGCTTCACACACTGGCTGACACTCAGACATCTCTACGGCAGTTATGAATCAGAACATGTCATTTGGGAGAGGCCAGACCTAGCCAGCAATGCAGATGTCACAAGGGCTCACTAAAAAGATATGTAAACCCTTTGACGGAGAAGTTCATAAAGAGAAAATAGAATAAAAACAAGTGAAAGAACAAACAGCACCAATTTTTCCTTAATTTTAAGAGCCACATTGCAGATGGATTCAAATAACTCCAACTTCTCCATTTAGTTTTAAAGATAAGTTCTATGCTTTTTCATATGGGGAAAGAATATTAACCCAGCAACTTGCTCCTCTGCCTTTGCTTCTGCTTCAAAGTCACTTGGTTCCTTCAATTCCCAGCAGCCACGAAAGGAGATGAATAAAATCTCTGTTCCTAAAAAGTTACTTTGTAGGGTCCTGAAATTATGGATGAAAAGGCAGATTCACTGTGAAACTATGACAGCTTTGGTTTCAGGGCTCCTTGTTTGCATGGGCCTCTGAGAAGGCACTACAAGGAGGCTAGCAAAGTTTGTGGTAGAATGTTTTTATAGATTTGGCAAAGGGAAGTTATTTAAATTTCCACCAATGAAGAGTTCTGTCTTCTGTCCCTCTCTAGTCATACTGTCCCTCTCTCAACACATGCTACTTGGTGCGGTGGTCCTGGAGAAACAACAGGCTTTTCTGGATACCATGAAGGACTACAAGAAATTGTAATTTTTTTGGAAGCTGAAAGAAGAACACATTTCACTTGGCCTTATGGAACATGTATTTTATTTATATATGTGTATTGCAACATGCACATATACATGTATATTATATTTTAAAGTGGCTCTTTGAGGAATAACTGCTATGATAATCTGGATGTTTAACATACAATGTAATGTCTTTGGACATAGGCATACTTTGTGAAATCTTTATCATAACAAAGGTGGTGGAAATATTCATCAACTCCAGAAATTTCCTATGCCTCTTTATTTTTTAACTTTACTCTGAAAACCATGAACATCAGATATATCTTCTTGACACCGAGTTCAGTGCACAGTATTATTAATATAGTGTTCATTACAAACAATATGTGTCAAACTACATCTGTGGAACTCATTCATCTGTAATTGGAACTGTATGTCTCAGAGCCTATGGAACTGTATAATAAGATAAAAAAAAAGAAAAATGATTTGAACAATAAAATTTATTGTGCCAATAGTTTTGTAAACAAAGAACCATGTACCCATTGACTGATTTACTCTCCTAGTCAATTTTCATATGATTATTTGTTAGAAAACTCATGGAGATCATTAGACCTACAAGTAAATATAAGTGAAGTAACTGTCATTCTCTGACTTATTTATATAGAGGAGGAGAGACAGAGACAAAGATCTTCCATATTCTGCTTCACTCCCCAAGTGGACACAATGGCCAGAGCTGACACCAGAAGCCAGGAGCTTCTTCCATATCTTTCTGAAGCCGTAAGCAGAAAGCTGGATGATAAGTGGACCAGCTGGGACATTTACCGACTGCATATAAACCAGGCCCTTGCAAGGTGGAGGATTATCCAACTGAGCCATCACTCTGGGCCCAGTACCTTTTGCTTCTTAATGCTGGACAATCATTTCTGTTATTTCTATACCTTATTGGTGTTGCTGGTAACTCATGCTTTGGGATAAACACATCACTATGTTGTGATGAGTTACTGTTGGCATTTAGTTAGAATTAACACAGAATATCATCCCATTCAGAAGACAGAGCCTAAATACCAGTTTCCATTTCAAACTATAGTAGGTAGGTAATGAAGAAATTGGCAAAAATCAAATTATAACCCACCTTCTCTTGTGTAAAATTGCTTCCTATAGATAAAATATTCATATTTACTGAATAATTATTATTTGAATTACATTCAATTTCTTTTTTTTTTTAACCTGAGAAAATTGATACTTTTCCTGATGCCAGCTAACTTCCCAGTTTGAATTCAGTTCCAGGGACTCATTTTCAACTACCAGGGTTAAATGACAATCTGAAGACTTTGAATATGATATCTGTGGATTCTTAAAGGAATTAACACTTCAATGTACTTGAAGTAGAGTAGAATTTAGAGTTAATAATTTTAGGGTGATGTCATGATTTGTGAGAAACTCAGTGTCTTTCCTTGAAGTATAGAAGGAATGTGCTTATTTAATCTGCATATTTCCATGAATACCGTGAAGCTGTTTCCCTAGCCCTAGGTTACTCTCAGATAGAGTAGGAAAAAATTTAGGTTTCTTAAAAATCCGATATTATTTTATCTTGAAAACAACAAACTTCTCTTTTAAAGTGGGTTTTAAAAGATAAGAGCTTATTGCTACTGAGATCTATCTTTTATCAGGATTGATTCATTTATTTATTTATTTTTTGAAAGACAGGATTACTGAGTGGGAGAGGAGACAGACACACACAAAAAGAAAGATCTAATTGACTCTAAATGGCCACAACAGTAACATTGAGCCAGGCCAAACCCAAGAGACTATTACTCCATCCAGGTATCCCACATGAGTGGCAGGGGTTTGATTAGCTGGTTGTCCTCTGCTGTTTTTCCAAATGCATTCGTGGGAATCTGGAGCAGAAGCAGAGCAGCCAAGGTTCAAATCAGTGACCATATGGGCTGTAAGTTTTCCAAGTGACAGCTTAGTCCTTGGAGCCGCAAAGCAAGCTCCATGGTGATATTTCAAACTGTTCTTTATACATGTGTCTGATGGTGTTGCATTGTGTTCCTTGTGACCTTGTATTTTCTGAATGCTGCTGAAACTTTTCATTTATAGAAAAAACAAAATCCCGGGTTCATCTGGGTTGAACTACATTGAAGAAGTTATTGTGTTTACCTAAAGCAAATAAGATAATTTATGTGTTCACAGTAAATGAGATCTGAAAAACTATTGTGTCAATATTCAAATCAATCTGAAAAGAATCTACTGTGAAATTAGATTTCTCAGACAAGATATAGTCTAACAAGAAGGCATTTACTCTTTCTTTTTATGGGGATAGTTTTCATTTGAATGTAAAAAAGTGATGGCATGTGTTGGAAGTCATAAACTTAATATGTATCAAACCTGATGGTTTTAGAGATCAAAGGATTGAGTTTCAATTTAAATGTATGGATTTTTATTATAAAAGCAAAATATCTCCTGGAAAATGGACCAAGTTATTTTGTACATTCTTTCCATGTCCACTAAGGAAATTGCAAAAATATGTATTCAAAACTGTGTGAGATTTAGTGTGTATAAGCAGGATACTACTCTATATAGAATTTTTAAAAAGTGTGATAGTACTGTTCTGCCCTTGAATCAAAATGTGTTAATATTTTGATTCCTTTCTGCATAAAATTTGTCTGAACAGTTCTTCATTAAAGTTGAATTTCAATGATTGTAATTAAATGATGCAAAACCAATAAAGGAAAAATACACAAAAGACCAATTAGCATGTTATCTCAGTAAGTATATAGGAGAATGAAAGAACATATTGTTCTATGCTGTAGCATATAATTAAGATGCACTCATAAATCAGGGAAGTATTATAACTTGTTTAGGTGCACAGGTGGCTTTTAGAAAGATTCATTAGTTCCTCTTGCCCCCTTGAGATGTGAGTACATAGTAATTTTTATGATATTAAACAGATTTTTTTCAAACTCCCCACAGTATCTATGTGTCAATGAAACCAGCATGCTACAGATAAATGTTTGCAAAATGTTCATCTCCTTGTTCATTTCTGTTCCAGATGCTCTCTACGATGTCATCACTGTGGGAGCCCCAGCTGCCCATTTCCAGGGGTTTAAGAACGGTGGTCTTCGGAAGTTACTCCATAGATTTGAAACAGAGAGAAGAAAGTGAGTAAAGACAAGAGAAACACTTGCATTCCACTAATGATAATATGTTCTCTTTGCGCAAGTCTGTATATAAGCTAAAGATAAAAATCTGGGACTGTTGGATGAATAGTTTCTATCATTTCCAGCTTGCTCTGTAGCTTAAACATGCCTGCACATATTGCTTATTGTAGAGCACTGTCCTGGCAGCATTTTTTTTAAAGCTATGCTGTTGAGAAAGAAATGGCATTTCAATATCAATCTCTGCTTGTACAAAGGAATCATATGCTGATAGATTTACCTGGAAATGGTCTAATTTAGTTGTAGAGTCGACGATTTTGAGAAATCTAGGTCATAATTTATTACTTTGATCTGCTTTGCCAGAGGCAAGGCTCATAGCTGCCTCATCATTTAGTTGTACCAATCGAAAAAGAGATATCAATACAGAACTTTATCACCTAAATGATGGAATTAAATGAGAAAACTTTCCATTCCTTAAGCAAAAGGCATGAGGCAAAACACAATGTAATCATCAATATTTATAATGCTCATCTACCTTTCTCCAACCCTTTAAAATTTAGTTATTTTTTAAAGATTTATTTTTATTATTTTTTTATTGGAAAGGCAGATATACAGAGAGGAGAGACAGAGAGGAAGATCTTCCGTCCCATGATTCACTCCCCAAGTGAGCACAACAGCCGATGCTATGCCGATGCTATGCCAGGAGCCTCTTCCGGGTCTCCCACGCAGGTGCAGGTTCCCAAAGCTTTGGGCTGTCCTCTGCTGCTTTCCCGGGCCACAGGCAGGGAGCTGGAAGGGAAGCGGGGCTGCCGGGATGGCGCACATATGGGATCCCAGGCATGCAAGGCGAGGACCTTAACCACTGCACCACCACGCCGGGCCCCATAAAATTTAGTTATTTTTAAACGTTGTTATAGAATACATTGGCCTCAATCGTTTGTCCACACTCCCGTGCCCCATCCAGTTAAGCTTATCTAATATTCTCTGGCTGTGACTGCATTCATGAGCATCTTTTATAAAATGCATTATTCAGATTTGAAAAATCATCTTCCTTCTCATGTAGATGCTCAGCTTTAACTAGAAACCTAAATCTTGCAAGTTATGGAAAAATTCTCATTCATTAGTCATAGTGGGTTTAGTAATATATTGGAAATAGTTTTGATTGGTGAAACAAGGGCTTTTCAAATCATGTGTAGGATCTAGTTTTCAATGTCCGGGTTTTCAGAAAAAAACTAAAGTAAAGTAGAACTGAATAACAGACACCTCACTAAGTATAAGCTGTCAGTTCACCTTCTTTCTTTCCTTCTTTCTTTCTCTTTTCTTTCTGCTCTTTTTTCTTTCTTTCTTTCTCTCTTTTCTTTCTCTCTTTTCCTTTTCTCTTTCTTTCTTTCTTTCTTTCTTTCTCTTTCTTCCTTCTTTCCTTCCTTTCTTTCTCAAAACTGATTTTGATTTAATTCTGTTAACTTGGTTGTAGTGCTTATTCAAGTTCTAAATTTTTTCTACTGTCTTTTTTTTTTTCACAGACACAGGATTTGCAGTTTCATAAATCCATGACCATTACCATAACCTTTACTCTAATACTACTCAATCGCCACAAGAAATTTTCATGCACAAGTTACTCTGAATATCCATGCCCTTCCCCCAGACCTTCCTGTTGCCACATATTTGTGTTGTTTTGTTACCATCATAGAGAGAGAAAGTTCTAACTTCAGGCTCTGCTGGAGAGAGGATTATTCTTTTTATTTCATGGAAGTTTGAAGATTGTTCAAATCACAGACTCCCTGGGCAAAGAAGGCCCTCTATCTACTGAACTAGGAATGGGGATGCAAGACAGTTTCTGCCTGTGGTCTATACTAAGCAAAAATGTTTCCCATTCTCACCTTGCTGTAATATAGTATATGTGACTTTATTTGTTTGTTTCTCTATTCATTACTTATATGTATTTGTAGCTGGGATCCTGGAAGTCAGTGCAGGTCTCTCCAAGTGTGGCTGGGATCCAAGGTCTCAAGTGTTGCCTGCCAACTCCCATTGTGCATAATATCAGTAAGCTGGAATCGGAGGTGGAGTCAGGCCTTGAGCTCATATAATGTGATGTTGGATGCAGGCATTCACAAGGGTGAACCTCTGATCGGATCACCCCTTCCTTCCCCATCTCTTCAGCCCGTTCCCTGTGTCATCCTTGGATGCAGACAGAATGCCAGTTTTTGTAGTTCTTACTCCAGGACAGTCAAGGGTGATTAAAAACTGCATGTTCTGTTAGGACGTTCTGTTCTCCGCACCCCCCGCCCCGGTTTGACTTTCTCTGGGTGTTATTTGTAGCGTAATCTTGTTTTAGAGGTGGTTCTCTGCTATCCAATTTGAGATAGAGTCAAGGAAAAAATTTACATTCTATCATGTCATTTCTCAAGACCTCAGATCCCTATCCAATTTCCCTTAATTTCTTCATCACTTAGAACCTTCTCATTTATGGCATGTATTTGTCTACACTGTTTCATTTTGATTAGGATAATGATAGATTGTGTTTACTCTATTTTATCTGGAACCAGAAGCTTTTACCTTAAGGATTGAGTTAATCATGTGTTTTAATCAGTTTTTAAACTGTGATACAATTAGGAGACACAGAACTATCTTCACGGCATTAGCATCTGGTACAGCATATAAAGAATCTTTGTGAAATTTGCAAATTATGTTTATAAATTACAAGGTTTCACCCCGTTACTGCCAAGGATAAATATTGCATTTGTGTTAGACCCTGAGAAAAAACTTTTTGGTTTTAGATATGTGCGTAAATAATAGATTCTTAATCTTTTTCTGGCCTTGCTGGATTTGATTCTCTCTCCTAATATTTTGTATTTACCTGTCTCATAGCTTTGCTAAGTCATATCAATGTTGTATTCAGTTTGCTTGTTGTCTTGTATTTCCATTTAGTTTATGCTCTTAAGTAAAATATTGTGGTCTTGATTTTTGGGATTTTCTGGAGTGCCTCACAGAGGACTGTGTTTGTAAGTTTTCTGGAAGTCATGACCAACAATATCAAAATAAATATATAAATTAGGTATAATCTCTAACTTTAACATTTTGAAGACTCCAACAGACGAGAAGATTTTCCACGCATTCACAGTGCTCTAGATAAATACTAAGGGGAGCAGCAATTCATTCCATGGCTGCTCATTTAGAATTGTTCTTAGAGCTTCTAAAAATATTTTGAACAGTGACAGACTATCACCCTAGACAAATTAAGTGCACATTTTTGAGAATCAACCTCAGACATGGGCATGTCTTTTAAGGTTCCAGGTGAGTTGAATGTGTAAGCTGGAGTTGAACACCACTGATATAGCTGTATGTACATAGTGATGTTGGAAGACTTGAGAATTTTGATGAAGAAATAGAGTAACTACACAATTGACTTGCACTTAACAATTATGGAAATCCTCAGTTGCTATTTACCCTAGGAGGACTAAAAGCTGTGTAATTATTGTTAAAGGAAAGGATCACAACTCCCTTATCTTTATAGACTCTAAAGCTCATTAGCAAGTTGTGAAATGGAAGCAAAAGTGAGAGTAAAGTCTAACAGTGTTGTGCTGGAATAATTTGGGACTGAGAAACATACAAAAATGAACATGAACTATACATTTTGCAGGACAGAAAATGAAATGTATTATGAAGATATTGAGTTGCAAACTTAGAGCTTGTCTGGAAGAACCAAAACACTAATTGTACTTGTATTTGCTAAAGAGACCAAAATTAGGATATCTCAACAATTTATTCACTTTGACATGTGTCATTTACTTAGTGTTTGTATGGAAAAGTATGGATTTCCCTTCCAAAATATAAATAAATTCTCTACTCTCATAAAACAGATTTTCAGTACAACGTATATTTTTCTCTACTTCAACATTTCTGATTTTATCAGAAAATCAGATTCCAAAAGAATTTTTACTAAGTAGCATTATGACCTTGAAGCAAAAGAAAAAAATGTATAAAAATCATTAGATTGCAAGAGCAACTCAAGAAAGACAAAAATCTTTGCAAAGACAATAAAAAGATAGCAAATGATGTGTTAGCTACATCTTGGGCATTTTCCCATCCAAGTACTAACCAGGCCCAACCCTGCTTAGCTTCCGAGGACAGATGAGACTGGGTGCATTCAGGTGGTATGGCTGTAGACAATCTTGGGCATTGTGACTCATTAAAATCCAACTACTCTTCTAGAACACGCTCAGAAACCTTGTTCAAATGACTCTAATGCCAGGTTCCTGGTTTGCCACCTAAATACACCCTAATGTGCTCTGGATACCCATATTCAAAATTGTTGCCCTGGGCTTTCAATCTGAAGTTTAAACAATTAGGAACAATTTTAAAGGAAAAGAGAGCTTAAATTTTCTCATGAATAATGGTATAGGTTGTGTCTGAACTACAACTATTGAATTTTCGGAGTAATAATAATGCCTTAGTCCTTATTGCTTCTTTGACAAATATCTGACTCTGGATAATCTGTAAACCAGAAAAATGCATTGCTACAGAGCTCAAGGCTGAGAGCTCTACAAGCAAGCCACCAGCCAACTCATTGTCTAAAGATGTATGCATTCCTCAGAGTGGCTTCTAGCTTTGTCTTCATATATGGGATGGGCAGGGCAGTTCTCACAAAGGTTCCATTTTTTAATGTCAGTGACAACCTTTTGATTAGTTTTATTGTTTAAATGTTAAAAAAATGAAAGATTAGAGAGGGACACAGAAGTCAAATCCTAGCAGACACAAAGTTTTACTACATCTATATGTTCTGAGCTCAGCGATTACAGGGTCACAAAAAGGAAACTGGGGCTGGGGATGTTTTCCTTACTATTATAAAGGAGAAATGCAGGTAGATAATATCTTGTTGTCTGTTGTAAATGTATTCCTATTCATGTATTTGAGAGGTGGAATGAGAGAGAGAGAGAATGTTCAATTTGTTTGTTTGTTTTGTTTTGTTTTGTTTTGTTTTCAGATATCCACATCAGCCCTGT